TCTTTTATATATATATATAGGAAAATCATTCACCGTATGTTGCCAGACAATTTTTCACACCCCAATCTGTTTTGAAGCATTATAAGTCTTCCATTTGTCAATATATTAAATATTGTCCTCACATCTGGTCTGGTACTTCTGCTATATATCTAACGATTCTTGAGAAAATCCAAAGAAGAAACTAAAATTGGCCCTGGTATGGCATCTCGATTTTCCCATGACCGTGACACTACTTGTTGTGCCTTTGTTTCTTTTTTTGTTTGTTTTTTATATTTTTATAGTAATTATTCTGATGAGCTCTTGTCTTTGGTACCTCCACTTCACGAATTTAAGCGTAGTACTAGATTGGTACCTTAATCTTATCATTTTACTCTTGAAAGTGCTAAGTGTAACCGTAAGTTCTATTCTAATAGTTCCTGCATCCGCACTTCTCGCCTGTGGAACTATCTTCCGGCTTCTTGCTTTTCTCTTAACTACAATCGACAAATGTTTAAATTCAATTTCAGTTAGGGCTGATTTGATGTTATTAAGAAGAGAACGATTTTCGTATTCCATTGGTGAGATATAATTTCCAATGGAGCAGCTTCTTCCCACGAACCGTTGGTTTACGGAACCGACTCCAAAGATGACACTTCACAGTTCACTCCAATCTTAACCTGTTCAAGTCTAGGATTAACTGTTAAGCTATTATTTTGTTATCTTTTCTATTTAATAACGTTTTCTTTCAATCTCAGTAACCCCTTGCATCTTAGTGTTTTTCCGCCTTCCTTGCAGTAAAATAATTTTATTTTTAAATTCTCAGGTGGCTAAAACTAAGGTTATATACACTTGTTATTAGGGTAAGCAAATGTCGGTATTTTCCCGGTTGCGTGTGTGTATACTCGGCAGTGTATAGAACGGAATGAACAAATCCAAGGCTCGAAATAACTGTTTAACAGCTTTTATTCGTGGTCGAAATATAAAGCAAAATAGTGATATTTTGCGAGAAAAAAGGTTGAATTTCCCAGTTAACAGAGCTCTTCCCCTGAGTAGATTTTTCAAAGAGATTTCTCCACTTGTTCCTTCGAGGAACGAGAAATCTCATTGTCAAACTGCTAGGACTGGTACAGGTTTTCTGCAGCAAGGGTTGTGAGTAGTTTTTCCTTTAGCTAGGCGTCTCGAATGGGAGATTTCTCCGCTTGTTCCCACGTGGAACGAGAAATCTCAGTTTCAAGCTGTAAAGACTGCCAATGTGTCTTCTGCAGCAATGGTTGTTATGAGTGGTTCTTCGAGCTGGCCTTGAAGGTAGCAGCCGCTGAAAAGGAAACGTGGAAAAACAGAGACCGAAATTTTTATGAGCTCTGAGACTTCCAATAGTTCCCTGCTGATTACTTCCGTTGTTGTTACTGCTGAACCGAGCAAATTAAGGAAACCCCACATGCCACAATAGCCAACAAGCGAAATAGTTTTTATGCAAAAGCCAGGTGACATTTTGGGATAAAAAGGGCTTGACGTCAGCCATGTTATTAAGAAGAGAACGATTTTCTCCTCTTGTCTCTCTATGATCCAAGAAAGTTGTCATTCTTTTATCTGGCACCTTGCTGGCTCCTTGTTCAGATGTTCATTAGGGGGTTTCGGGTCTTTCAACCACGTAGCTCAATCGATACTGATCGGGTATCGACTTGTGTACCATCCGTCAGCTACAACATTTCTCATATTAACTCTAACATACTGCAACTCCGTTGGCATTTTATAGGCCAATCATTGATAACTTCCGAAAGGATGCATACGCAGTCATCGTTTCGCTCTGGTAAGAAATATGGCGACTCGCTCGGTTTGAAATGGTAAGTAACAATCTTTCGTTTTCCTCTTAATTACAATCTATAAAACTTTAAATTATCAATTAGGGCTGATTTGATGTTATTGTCAATTAGGGCTGATTTGATGTTATTGAGAAGAGAACGATTTTTATATTCCATTGGTCAGATATAAAGTCCAATCGAGCAGCTTCTTCCCACGAGCCGTTAGTTTATGGAACCAACTCCAAAGCTGATACTTCACAGATAACTACAATCTTAACCTGTTCAAGTCTAGGGTTAACTGTTAAGCTATTATATTTATTTTGAATCTTTTCTACTCAATAACAATAATAATAAAGAGTATATACTCTTAGGACGTAGGTTAACTCACTCCCTAGTTGGGGGCAAAGTTATGTTCCTTGATCAGAACTACAGGAACGTGGTGAGTTTCTCACTGTTATGTCGTTACTTCCATGGAAATCGCTCGGAAAGCGCTTGTTTCTGCCAAGTCTAAACTTCACGGCTAGGACCCGCCATGCCATTTGTATAGTAGCCAGCCACCCATATTCCTCCCGTATCCCATCGGTGAAAAGTCAGTTCCACTCGAATAGCATCTTCCCGCGAATCACTACTCTATGGAGCCGACTCCCAAGAGGACGTTTCCTCGATCCCTACAATCCTAACCTGTTCAAATCTAGAGTTAACCGTGTTGTTCCAGGAGGTGAGCCGTTTTCCCTTCTACATAGAGAGAGGAGCTTCCGCTATATAAGATCTAAAGCTGTCCCAGTCTAATTTCGTGCAGCGAAAAACCGTTCTAGGGAACGGCAGATCAGGGAATGTCTTTGGCTTGGCATCAATTTGGACACTGACTAGAGAATGGTCGAGTGTGAACAGGATAGAGGTGTAAAACTAATTTTTCTGGGCAGGGTGTGTGGAAACGGTCCATGGGTTTCGTCTGGTATCCCGTTGTGTCAAGGATACAAGTGGGTTCTTCGATGATCTGAGTTAGTTCATAGATGATGGAGAAGTCTCTGCCTTCTTCATCGGTTTTCTTCGAGGGGGCTAACCACCCTTTGTGGCGGATATTGAAGTCACCACAGATATGAACACTAGCTGAGGGAAACTCGATGAAGATATTATCAATCCTGTCAGATATAATTGAATATCACTGTCCCATCGTTCTGAAGACGATAGAGAACTAAAACGAATGTGGTACTATGGATGTACCATGCGGAAGCACATATATGGGAGACCTGGGTCCTTGTTTTTCGCGTCCCTCCCACAGGGAAACCCGTACTTAATGTAGATGCCGAGTCCGTGACCGTGGCGATTTAGGTGGTCGTGCTTGGCTATTAGGGGTGAGTAACCCTGGGATTACGAGCTTCTGCAGTGGTACTGAGGCACTGATACCTGTTTCAGACAGAAACAGGGGGTCGGGTTTGGACTCAAGAAGATGGAGTTCCACTTTTGGAAAATTGGAATATAAACCCCACACATTAGTGTAGGAGATTTTTTGTGAGGGTGGGGACTAATTTTTATAATTTTTCAATGATTTTATGTGTGGATTGTATTTTGTTTGGTGGAAAACTAGTTAGTGAGACAGGCACACTCACAGGAGATGCGTGTATAATTAACCTGGATAGAACAGTCCGGAGATAGAGCTGTGGCAGTACCCTTCATCATGACATCGAGAAGCCTCACCAGAGACTACTACACGGTCCAGAAACTATTCACAAAATGGCAGTATAATATCCCCGATGTTATACACTTGCTGCTAGGATAGGGTACTTCGGAGTTACTCGTAGGTTCGGATTCCTAACTATCAGGCAGATGACACCAAAACCCAGAAAACGTCTACCTGTAGCACCCCTAATGAAGGGACAATCAACTTGGGGACATGTCGCGTCTGCCCAGAAGTCAAAGCAACAGAACCCCTCCTTTGGTCAGAAACATCGTATTGGTCCGAGACCTAAAGGCACCAAGATAAGCTCGCTCATGTACTTGAAGACTAAGAGACCCAATGATAGTTGTGTTCATTTGTATTTTGACTGGATTCATGTGTGCATTGGTTGGTGGAAGACTAGTAGGCCGAGATACAGACACACCCACAGGAGTTGCATGTATAAATAACCTGGAGAGAATCGTCCAAAGATAAAGCTGTAACAGTACCCCTCATCATGATATTGAGAGGCCCCACCGGACACTACTGCACGGTCGAGAAACCATTCACAAAATGGCAGTACAATAGCCTCGATATTATACACTTTCTGCTAGGATAGCCTCCTTCGGAGTTACTCGAAGGTTCGGGTTCCTAAATATCAGGCGGATGACACCAAAACCCAAAAAACATCTACCTGCAGTACCCTTAATGAAGGAACAATCAACCCAGAGGAGAAAATACATGCATGATGCTCCGAGTGGACATATCGCATCTTCCCAGAAGTCAAGGCGACAGAACCCCCCCCCCCTTGGGTCAGAAGCATCGTACTGGTTCGAGACCTAAAGGCACCGAGACAAGCTCGCTCATATACGTCACGGCATCGAGAGACTCCCACCATCTGTGTCCAGAACCCATTCACAAAATGGGAGTACAATAACCTCGATATTATACACTTGCTGAGAGGATAGACTCCTTTGAAGTTTTAAGAAAAAGTTACAATGATTCGAGACACTCTAATTCTGTCCCCTAGCCATTGTCGGATGTTGTTTTAGATTGATTCGGTATCTAGTCAACCACCCAAGGGGGTTGCATGTGGCACAAAGGCCGAGTTTAACGTAGGTTTCCTGAGCCCGTAGGCTCGGCCAAAAAATGCCCGTAGAACCCGTATAAACGGGATCGGGTTGGTCAGCCATCCCGAACGAGACTCTGCCCTTCGGCGGAGCCTCGTCCTGGTTCCACTCAGCTCAGAGGCAGAGAGTTCGACCGTCAAGCCGAGAAGCTTTAGATTGATTCGCTTTCATCGGCTTATCGACCCTTTTCAAGTTAATTAAAACCAGGAAATAATTTTAGATTGTAAGAATATTTTACTGTTTTTGTTAGTTTTTGATATAATAATGGTTTAGTAATACAAGACTTAATAATTAACCCATAGCAGGAGGAGAAGAGATGGATTCATACTTTTCACAAGGGTATCTGCACGTAAGTGAATATAACAAACCCAACTAGAATTGGAACTTAGCAATTCAGAGCCATCATCCATTACACTATACGCACACCCAAACTTACAGCATATCGTATTTCCAAGCGGTCACCCATCTAGGTACTGTTCATGCTTGCCCTTGCTTACCTTCAGTGATCGTACGGGAACTAGTGTTTCGACATGATGTAGCCGTAAGCTACGGATGTAGTTTGAGGTCATACTATAAGTAATACTGAGGAATTTGAAAGCGATAAATGATATTATCTAAAATGCCTAATTGGTAATAATATATGCTAGTGCATGTTTGTACAGACTGAAGCAGATATGTTGTTTTGTTACAGTGTGAGTCAACTAACCTAGTTACTAAATTGACCCTATTTAAGATGGACGTGTCTACAGAACGTATAAGACATGTCCTTGTGATAAATTATTTTCCACCCAACCACTCCTTTCCCACAGACGAAACGTCACAAGCCTATCTCTACTCTATCTTCACGGCTAAGATTTGCCCTGCCAGGCACATCGGAGCGAACCATCCTCATTCCCTTCGTATTCCATTAGTGAGATGTAAGTTCCAGTCGAGCAACTTTTTCCCACGAACCGCTGCTTTGTGGAACCAACTCCGAAAAAGATGCTTCCTCGATCACTACAATCTTAACCTTTTCAAGTCTAGGGTTAATTATTATCTTCCCCATATAATGGGAGAACTTGGAAGAAAGATTTGTTCTCCCATTTACATTATAGGCGTGATATAACAACACCGTATTTCACGGACGGAACAGAATGGCTGAAAGGAAAAGGAATGGCAAATATGCTTTGTTCTCAGAGAGACTTTCATACCACTAAGACATACACAAAACTATATATACATACTAGCAGTAGCGCCCGGCGTTGCCCGGGGATGTAACAGTAAGAGATAGATCAAGTATCGACCATCATAAAGACTGAAAAATAAAATTGACAAAGATTATTGTTTAAGGTTGAGGCACACGCATGTCTTAATGTTTTTTTGTTTGTTTTTTTTTTGTTTATTTTTACGAATTGGTCAAACCCAAACTCAAACAAAAACATTGTTTTTTCAATCGTTATGAGTCTACCGATTGAATAGAATTTTATTATAAACAATTGTCTTGTAAATGGAATTTTCAAAGCATTCTGAATGTAAAAATAAAGAAAAAAGTGTGCAAGACAATAAGAAACACTACCTGCCAAAAAAGTGAAGTTTTGTTGAAATCGGATGAAAATGTAGGAAATCCGATCCCATATATAAACGAAACACACACACACCCACACACACAAACAAACAACCTGGGTTTTATAAGTATAACTCGATATGAGTTGTCCCCCTTTCATTCTCGCGATGCCTCTTAATCGTGTTTTCAAATTGATTTCGTGCAAAAACGATTGTGTTTTTTCCAATTTTTGGCGCTGTCAGCACCACCGCAAGATAATTTTACGTAGTCCTGTGAAGTTTTGTTGAAATCGGTTGAAAAATGTAGGAAATCCGATCCAATATATAAACGTACACACACACACACAACCTGGGTTTTATAATAAGTATAATTTATACGTGTCTCACGCAGAGAAAAATATAACAGCAAGCAGAGTGGAAGGAAAACGAAAAGATAAGGTCTTACATATAATATGGAGATTCCTCTGTGTTTCTGGAGAAGCCATGTTTAGTACTCCAGATTCAAGCGGGCCGGATTCATCTACTATGTCCCAAACGGGGACATATTCTGCGGACAGCAAACAGCGAGTCTTGAGTTTTCCAAAATTGAGAACTGCTAGCCAGAGATAGTTTCTTTTTATATCTAGAGAAGATATATTCCTAAACGGAAAGAGAGCCATGGACTTGTAAGCTGCTGTGGGAGGCAAATTTAGCATCAGCCCTGGACGAGATGCCAGAGTCAAGCAAGCTACTGCTTCGTTTGGCTCCTGTAGACTAACTGAAGAACTGTTGCTTTCGTCACTGTATCAAATTGGTTGAGTTTAACTATTATCTGCTTTTGTCTGGGCACATGAATTGGAATAATGTGAATCCAACATGTTATAGGTATGACCTTGAATTGGAATGAGTATGTGGTGTCTCAGTTTTCAGTCCATTTCCCACTGCCATAAGGTTGCCTCCCTTTGCCTTTTCTATAAATACTTCCATGGTAATTGTTCGGATGAGCTCTTCAATATCATGCCCAGACTCATCAGATTTAAGCGTAGTACTAGACTGTCGATGAGGTCTCACCAATTTACTGCTGAGCTATATGAAACTGTAAATTCTATGCTAACAATTTCTTTTCTCGCATTTCTTATTTGTGGAACTCACTTCCGGCTCCATACTTTCCAGACAACTTTAATCTACAAAAATTTAAATGCAATATAAATCGTTATCTGCTGTCCTCCTAATTACTATTCCTCTGTTCTCGCTCCTTAGCAGTGTTCCTGTTTCTAATTCTTCCATATCCAAAAACCACTTGCATCTCGGTGGCTTTTCTGCCTTGCTTGGGGTGAATTTGATTAAAAGCAAAAATTGCTAAGTCTGTTGTTAAGAAGGTTGCTCACTGTGTCGTGCTTGATAATTTTTCTCACCTGAAACTGTATTTTATCTTTGTAAATTTACTGTTCATCCCCGAACTGAATATTGTTCTCATGTCTGTTTTGGTGCTTCTGCTCTGTATCTAGAGATCCTTGAAATAATCCAAAGAAGAATCTGCAATGTTATCAGCCCTGACCTGGCATCTCAGCTTCAATCATTTTCCACCACTGTAACATTGCTTCTCTGTGCCTATCCTATAAATATTTCCATGGCAATGGTTCTGGTAAGCTTTCCTCTTTCGTACCACGACTTCATAAATTTAAGCATAGTACAAGATGAGCAGTTGTGTCCTGGGTATGATGATAAACTACATCCGACAGGAAGACTGCTGATCGGGAGACTGAAGGTTTTGAAGGGATTACAACCACACCTTAATTGTTGTTGTTCCCTGGTCTACCCTGACCTAGGGTGGTAGCATCTGTTAGGGTGCAAGCTGTAGGCAAATAGTGAACCCCCAAAGAAAAATCAACAGTAAAATTTTTATAATGTATTTGTTTGATTCTGTTATCTCCAATTTGTAATTTTCATTTTGGGTTGTCCCTTTTGCTAATGTCTATGCATTCTATCTTCTTTCAGTATTTAAAATGATATCTATTGTAGAGTGATAAGGGCATTTAAACATTCCTTTGAAGTTAAAGAGACGGTGTCCTATCGGGATAATTAGCACTTCCCCATCCAGCAAAGGTCACAGAAATCCTTCATTTAAGCGGCGTAAAATAAACTGCTATTCCTTAAACAGCGTAAAATCAATAAAACCAAGGTATACACGATTATTACAATTAAACATTTTTATAATGAGTCATGATGGACTACACAACAAATTCATGTTGAAAGCATGGTCTGTTTTGACGCCACACAAATCTGTAAAAATGCTATATTATTTGTTATATAAAAATAGTCATTGTTGAAATTTATTCCATCTCCCTTCACCTCTACTAACAAGGACGACACATCATTTACATGCGTAAATTTTGTTTGCCACTGCTTTTAGTCCAACTAGCTACAGTGCCACAACAAGGACAGCCCCTGAAAGCAACATCTTCTTTGTTATTATGTTGAACCACAATGTCAGAGGCGGGTGTAGGTGATATGTCTGCAGAGATTAAACTTTTCCACCAATAACCCATAATTTTTTTTTACCTTGATAATTTTTTGTTAAGACCATAATCTTAATTAGAAATTTTTCCCATGTAAGTCTGATTATTATATATATATATATATATATATATATATATATATATATATATATATATATATATATTAAATAAAACAGACCACTTTAGGTTCCATGTAATAAACTATTTTACCACAGCCCTTTTAAAGGATTGCGGATCATCAGGGCTGTGGTGAAATAATTATTACATGGAACCTAAAAGTGGTCTGTTTTTATTTAAATTATTTGCTCTGGATTTACATTAAGCTTTCTGGATTTTATCCTCCTTGTGTTTACCCATACGGATTGCCTAGTTTTTCATGAACTATAAAACAATGATCGCTTAACACAACATGTTAACTAGTAAATTACTAGAGGCTAATGTATTTGATAATTAACAGGTTTTGTAAATGAAGTGCTGGGTATTAAGCTATAGAGCAACAATATTTAATGGATAAAGGAAAATGCAAAGGAATTATCTTCCGAGTTAAGGTTTCATAGATGGTGTATCTGTGAAGCCTCAACTGGAAAGGATGAAATGAATCGATTGAATTAATATTATTTATCTAACTAGAAAGCCATCTACCTATACCAGTCTGTTCATTATCTATCTATCTATCTATTTATCTATCTATCTATCTATCTATCCCAGTCTATTCATTATATATATATATATATATATATATATATATATTTGTCTGTCTATATATATATATATATATATATATATATATATATATATATATATATATACAATTAAAGAAAAACTGACCACTTTAAGCTTCCATTATAATAATTTATTTCACCAGAGCCCTTTTAAAGGACTCTGGACCATCAGATAGCACTTCCAAAAGATGAAACGAAAATTCATACTTTTGATGGGTAGTTGAAACGAAATGAAATGAAAATTCATACTTTTGATGGGTAGTTGAAACGAAATGAAATGAAAATTCATACTTTTGATGGGTAGTCAAAATTTTCTTTAAAATATTAGCTCTGGATTTACATTGAGCTCTCAGGATTTCATCCTCCTTGGGACTACCCATACGGATTACCAAGTATTTCATAAATTAATATATATATATATATATATATATATATATATATATATATATATACAGTCTGTTCATTATCTATCTTACCCAGTTTGTTCATATCCGTGTGTGTGTGTGTGTGTGTGCGTGTGTGTGTGTGTACGTGTGTGTGTGTGTGCGTGTGTGTGTGTGTTCTGGTTCTTATAATTATTTTACCTCCAAATTAAAATACTTTTAGTTTTACAGAAATTATTTGGAAGCTTGTGAGACATTAGAGCTTATGCTACTATTTCTACTCATATAAATCTTGGTTGATTTTAGAATTTACAAGAACTCGTCGATCTTTCCACTGAAGTTACAGTTTTTATTCTTTTGTCATTAGTACGACGTTTCTCGCTCTCCCAATAGGATCGAA